AAAATAATTAAGGACAAATACTTTATAATTACCTAAACATGAATATTTTATGCATATGGGAGCACAGCAAGAACATATGACTACTTAAAAAGAACGCGTAATTTTGGTTTTACACCGAGATTATAAATAAAAATAAATTGTCTTTAATATTTCTATTTATTTATTTTTTTACTAAACTGAGCTATTATCTTTTTTTTATTTACTAAACAACGATGAAACAGGTATCAAATCCCTACTTAAAAAATAAATGTGCTATTGTAAACATGCAGTTTTTTACAGATTTCTTTAAACAAAGTAAATCTATTCAGGAACCATATTATCTATACTACAATTAGGAATACAATAAAGAATATAATTGTATTAAGAAAATTTCAAAAGAAGATCTAAACATTCCACTGGAAGAACAAGTTCCTTTTTTGATTCAGAACTTCGCCTCATAGAAGGAATAAAGGGGTCTGATGAGCAATCTTTGCATTACATCTTCATTTGTAATTATTCTAGAAAATTTTCTTGTAAAATGTTCTTGAAAATTTTTAACATCTTTGTTTCTACTTTCCTGGGCTTCTTCAGATAAGAGGCCAATTGGAACTGGCTTGTCTCTTACAACCTGGTGTGAATGTACAACCATTATGTGCACTCCAGCAGGCATTGAACACTATTTAAAATGTACTACATATGTCTTAAATGTATCTTTGCTATACATTTTAGTTTATCTGAATCAATTGAGTGCTTACAGGACAATACACAAAGAATAATGAAAAATCTTTTAACAAGGTCCTTATCAATTCTAAGTATTTCAGCAAAAGTTTCATGGCTTCTAAATGCCCTTCTCGCTGTGTTTCTATCATTGGATGTACCAGAGCCACCAATTTTTGATACAGTTCAAAACACATTTTATCGAAAATAATATTTTACTGACCTAGTAAAATTAATTAATTAAATCAATTAGAGTGTAATTACATTAATTGACCATAAGTGATGAATGGAGTTAAATGTACATGCTTTGACTGACCTTTAGGGATTGACACAACAAAATATACATTCATTAATTGACCCTAAGGATTGGGACAGTAATAGTCAATGATTATTAATATGTCATAGGGGTGCGTCGTTTACACATCCGCCGAAAAATCGATATAAAAATGGGTTTTTTTCCTTAATTAAACTTTCATAGTTAATCTCATATTTTCCTTTAAGTAATCAAAAATGTTATTCCTTATATTTAAAATTGGTTCCACCACTAAATAACTATTGAATATTATTTTGTTTATTCGATTTTGTTTATTCGATTGTTTTATTTATGTTTTATTTGGTCCGTTTTTATACTAGAATATTCCGCTATTCATTATCACAGTTGAAATTCATTAAAAAATATCGGGAGTGCTAGGGAAAGCCGCATTTTGGTTTAAGTGCACCGTGTTTGGAATGACCCTATAGATACAAAAGCAAACAAAAGCTGCCAAAGCTTTTCCAAAAATTTTCTATTAACAACATATTTTCAAACAAAAAAAATTTCCAGGTGGGCAAACCTGGGCGAATATTTTCCTGGTTGATAAAAGTTTTACTTTCAAATAATTTATAATAATAAATTGTTTATTTTAAATTATTTTATATTAATTTTCCATATTTTATAAGAATATTAAAAAAAAAAAAAGATTTTTGTTATGATACCGGCAGGAGTGAGCATGTATGAAAGTTGGTAGACCAATTTTTACCTGAAAAAATATGAATTTCTTCAATTTTTAAACTTCAAACCCTCCTTAGACAATTTTTTTTTTTTAAATTTAGGACGTTAAAAATTTTAAACTGGTTTTTACATAACATACATGTATATAACCTAATTTTTTAATTGTTTTTATTATAAAACAAATTTTTTTTTTGTATTTATCGCATGGTACTGGACCACTTTGCGTTTGCAAAATTTTACTTTGCTAGTCTCATTAGATGCCTTAGTTTCCTTAAAATTTTGACTGAAAAGAATTGTCTCCATGACTATGCACGTAATTAAGTAATATATTATCGCAACGATTAAAATCGTGAGTGATTATAATCAAGAGGTTCGAGGTTCGTTGCCGAACATTGAATAACTGAGACATTGGTAAAGAAAGAGGCGCGAACTTTCTTATTAAATGCTCTTCCGCAAATGTTCAACAGAACGCATCATGGAGAAAATAGAAGAACCGAACATGAAGAAAATTGCAAAATCTTATGATAAAAAATAAATGTAGAGAGAAAAACCTAATTGAAAAAAAATACTATATTAAAAAATTTATAGTCTATAAAAATTTCTTTTCCATAACTAAAAGAATCTGCATAATGCTAGACACATCTATAGTTTAAACAAGGTTTCGACCAGTCTAGTCAAGACATGGCTGCGGTCTACAAAGGGTTAAAAATTAGTTTTTAACCAGTTATCTAGACACTTTGTTAAAACATTTTCTAAAATTCTGTGCTACACTAAAATGATTTCTTGCTATAAGTAATCTTCAAGTCAATCTAAAGATGAACGGATAATATCTGCTGAATTTAATATAACATTTTTAGATAATAATCCGAGTTAGTTAATGTACTAAACCAAAAAAGGTTACGTTATTTAATTAACCCAGTATTGTTAGGTTATAGTTAACCAGAGAAAAATTTAGTCATATGTTTCAAATCTTTATATTTGTACCTATATCTATAAACTTTCTTGTTTTCCTAAATTGCTTGAGCATATAATTTTTTATAAACTCCTCTCTAAAAAAGATAGAAACTACTATCTTAGAGTAGATCCTTACAAAGGGTATATTGCATACTCGACTATGCAATATACCCTTGGTAAGGTATAATTTTTAACTTCCTAAGGTAAAAACTTTTAATACAAATAATAGTTAGACATAAAATTTTTTATTTAAAAGTATAAATTTGTACCTCAGAAGGTAGAAAATTATACCTTACAAAGGTATATCAAATTACTAAAGTATCCAAAGGTAGAAATATCTACCTTTTTTTTCAAAGTGTATGATCTTTTAACTAAAAAAATATAAAAACTTTTTTGCACATTTTTGGCTAAGCGTATACTTTTTTTTATTGAGCTGTAGCTTAATAAAAAAAAAGTTAACTTTGCTTTGCTTAAATTAAAATATGCGAAAATATAAATAACTTCCTAAGTAAAATAAATTAAGAAAATTAAATAATATAAATATAAAAATTTGAAATTATGAAGCAAAACTCATGGAACGAGTTTATTTAATAAATTACAGGGTTTTCATAATTTCTTATTTTAAATTCATACTTTCTTATTTTCTTGTTTTATTTTAAATTTCCAAATTTTTAAGTTTATATTTCCGCGTAACTTAATTTATATTTCTGCATAACTTAATTTATATTTCCACATAATCCAGTAAATACATTGTTGTTTGTTAAATAATCACTTTATTTACTGATTCAAGTCAAGTCCAATAAAACCCATATGGACTTTTACAAATTTTGAAAGTTTATTTCAAATTGAAATTGTATTGTACCATAATTTTATAAAAGTAGAAAAAAGATTCGTGATATTTGAAAGTGTTTTATAGAAATGGTACTTATCAAGGTGGTACCCTGGTAAAACCGACTTTTTTAACAAAAAAATTAAAAAACATCATTAGACTTTAGCTCTTTTTTATTATTGAACAAAAAAAATATAAATTCGTATAATTTTTTTTTAGTGATGTCATTAATTATGCGCATTTTTTAGTGACGTCATTAATTATGCGCATAATTAGTGTTATTTTACCCCTAAAACTGCCATTTTTTTATCTAATATAACTAACTCAAAAATTGTCAAAACTGTTTAAAATTTTGAACATAAATTCTTTAATGTATTTAGAATGTTGTCTATGAAACAGAATTTTTTAAGCCATTTTAATTTTACCAGGTTGACAATTTTTTCAGTCTCAAACTTCCTCAAATTTTGAGGAAGTTTGAGACTGAAACACGATAAAATTATTTAATTTTTTCTTTATTTTTATTTTGCTTCATAGACAACATTCCTAATATGTTCATCTTTATTCCTGCAAAATTTCAGCCCTTTAGCTATTTTCTATCAAAAGTTATTTTTTCTGAAAAATTGAGATTTAGAGAGAAAAAAAAATAGTAGCAAAAAAGCTAAAACATTTAACATTGACCATAACCATATGTATCTCCCTCTTTAAATAATTAACTGTTAATAATAAAGTTACAATCGAATGCAGTGTGAGGAGATGAAGAATTTTCTTTTAATTCCAATGAAATTTCTAACTTCTCTGCAGAAGCCGATTTATTTACAACAGTTTTTGTAACATTTGATGCTGTATTACCATCATCTCTTGTAATTTTTCCTCTAAAAACCTTTCTTTTTTTAACTTTAGAGGACTTATACCTGCTTGAAGAACCCATTTACAAATAAAAACACTAACAAATCTTTAATTATAACTCAATTTAAACTGAAGGAAGGACTGACAAAATATTAAGTACCGTCCTTCAGGAGCTCTACTTTGAGAACAATTTTGTGGTTTCAACGTACAGCTTATAGCTTAAAATAATATTTAAAATAAAGTCAAACGTTTTGAGCATTGTTTAGCAAAAATTTGAAGTAAATTGCTTTTTTGGTTTTGGAGAAAGTGGAGAAAAAGCGTTGCTAAGGTCGTTACTATGTCGTTAAAAAAGGGTACATTTGATGAAAATTAAGAAGGTTTTCAACTTTTTGAAAAACGTATATTGAAATAGGTAGGTTTAAGAATTCAAAGAATTCATTTTTGTATTTTTCAAAATTTTACCAAAAATAGCATTTTTTTACCAGGGTACCACCTTTTATTCTACCTGCTTTGATCTAATCATAAATTACAAAAAAAAAAATTATGACTTAATAAAGAAAACTTCCAAAACAAAAAATAAATTAATTTTATATGTTTTGTGACAAAATAATATTTTACTTTACTAAAACTAATAAAGAAAATTAAATAACTTTTTTAATAATAAAACTTGTAAATAATGGTCACCTTTTGGTCTTTAAACATGATACCAAGAGCCTTAGATTCATGACCTTTATGCCTGCCTTCATCAAAACACAAGTAACACACCGGAGTTTTACATAGTGCGCAGTACATGCTGATATTTTCGTCTACGTGTTCGCTGCACGTCAAATTTTCTTTTTTGATATGTTTAATTCTTTGAAACTGAGGTTCAACTAAGGAATGTGAAGCTAAAGGGCCGCGCTTTGGATGATATATAGCTAAACACTTGTAGCAATAAGATACAAGACATTGTTCGCAAGTAAATGACGCCTTTGCAGACGGCGTAGTTTCACAAAGTTGACAATCTAGTTCACAACATAAAACTTTCTGTTTTTCTACCAATCTCTCCAAAATTAAATTTTTTGTCAAGCCATCTACGCCGCGTTCATCAAGTATAAAATAGATGCAGCATTTAGAGCACACAAGAGCTGGCGTGGAACTACTTATTTGGTTTAGAGAAGCTTTCTTTTCTTTGTTTTTGTACCCACTCTTGTCAACTTGATATGGTTCAAAATGAGATTGCACTTGGCTTTCAGTTACTAAAGATTCTTTGGCACACTTGTAGCATATGTTGTGGGAGCAAGGCAAACTTAAAGGATTAGTCAATAAGCATAAACATTTTACACACTTTAGTTCATTGTATAATCCATCTGGTACATCCATCATTAAATATTATATATATTATAAACTGTCTTGTTTACTCTGTCATGTAAAGTACAATAATTTTTTTACGGTAAAAACATTTAGGGCACACAAAAGCCGTAAACTACAAAGTTGGCTCTCGGAAAGTTTTCTCTCTTTTAAGATCTTTGAATATTTTTGTTAATGAAATTTAATTTTTCAAACTTTAAAAAATAAATTTAACTCTATATTCTCCTTAAAACTATATATAAATATAAATATATCCTAGAAACTCGCTAAATTTTTTTTTTTTAATAACTTCTTGTTTTACTGAATCTCTAACTTTTTGCATATTTTATTTTATTTTTGTGAAGTTTATTGTTAGAATTCTAATGAGATTAATTTTTAATTAAAATTAATAAAAGAATGAAATAAAAATAATTTTAAATATTAATATAAGTACAAATATAATAAATACATAAATACAGATGGCTAAATAACAATAACAGATGGCGAAAAAAATAAATAAAGTCGATGATTAGTTTAAATTCTGGTTACTCATACTTATTTCTATTATTATTATTTATATATAGTTGCAAATAACATTTTTATATAGAAACCAAGGAGTTGGTATTTGTCGGGGTAACAAAGAAAAACCGTCATAAGTTTTGTAGAGAAAAATTTTCTTGGTTCGGAGAGAGGCAAAAAAAACCGAAGAAACAAAAACAAGGAAAACAGCAGCAAAGCAAATATGTTTAAAAAAAAATAATAATAATAAATAATCAATGTAAATGAATTAATATTTACTTGCATACTGAGAACTGTTATATAAATGTTGTTTTTATATGTTTTTTTGGTTTATCCAATCAAAAAAATTTTCTTTGATTTATGGAAGCTTTTTCATAAGTAGGAGAAAAAATTTAGAAAAAAGCGGAGGGCTTAAAAAGTGGAGGGAATGGTAATTCTTCTTTAAATTTAACTGTTATTTTCATTTTTTTAAGGAGAAATTTATATTTCAAGCTTTTGTCAAGGCCTAAACGCGGTGTAAATCTCGAAATTTTCTTGAAAGAATTTTAAGTCTAAGTTTGGTAAACACAAGGTTTTGCATGAAGTTTTAGCATCGGAAAGAGAACTTTTTACACCGAGTTTAGGCCATAACAAAAGCTTGTTTGTTTTCGAATATTTCTGCTTAAAAAAATAAAAACAACAGTTGGAGTTAAAGATACAAATAATGTCTCAGAAAAAGCACCAACTTATTTTATATATACATTTTTTTCGTTTGAAAATCAAAACGGCAAGAAAAAATATTCTACACTAATTATGCAGAAACGGTTGTGACACCTTTTTCAATCCCAGAAAAGAAAAACGTTAAGCAAGGTTACACGACGCTTTACTTCTATAGTAATAACGTTAAATTTTGTCAATCATATATAATATTATTTCATTAATAATAACTTCAGTTTTAATATTTACCGACGGTATATCCCAGCTTGTTGTAAAATCCACTGTAATAATAATAATAATAAAAAAATTGGGGTGTAATAATGCTACTCAAAGCAAAATTAAATGGTAATCATCAAAATAAATCGGAAAAGATAAAAAAGTTTTAGGTCAGCGGCGTAGTGGAGCTTTATGAAAGAAGAAAATATAAATATAAAAAGAAAGCCAAAAAGTTTTGTTGATTTTAGGTGCCCCAAGAAGTCCTTACGGTCTTATCTCAGAGCACCGCGGATGCTTCAATTTAACCTTAATCTTGTTTATATAAATTATTCGTTACGTGATTTAGTAAGGATGGGGGGGGGGGGGGGGGATTTAAAGGTTTTATTGATTCAGCTGAATCCACTGATCAGTGGATCCAGACCAACCGTGGTCTATGTTGTAAAACTTTTTATCGGCGTAAAATGCTACCGGAAAATATTTTTCAATTCAATGTTATAAAATTTTACCGCATCAAATTCTTAAGATATAAATCTTTGTCAAAAAGAAAGTGTTTTTGAGTTGAAATTTCTAAAATGTCATAGTTAACAAACTGAAGTTTTAAATCCAGTTTTCTCATGAACTTGAACTGTTCCGATTAAAGAATATTTTGTTGCTTTAGAATATTTCGCGAATCAGAGACAACCACGAGAAGTAAAACGGTTCAAACAGTATTTAAATTGTTAAGAATACAATTTAAAATTAAAAAAAATCGAATTGTCATTAGTTTTTTACCCAACCCCATAACAAAATTGGTGTAGCTTTTCTATAAAAATAACTTTTGAAACTAATGGCCTATAGAAATATTTTTCTATAGGCCATTAGTACAGGCCATAAGGTTTCTTTAGACTACTAATTGCGATTCAATAAAATATTGTACTTTTTGTAGTTGGAATTCTAAGACCATTTGTTTCAAAATTCTATAGAAAATTGTGTTGATATAAATATAGAAAATCTATACACATTTTGTATATTTATTATTAGAAGAAAAAATTGGAAAAATTGCATAAATAAAATTTAAGAAAAAAAGACTTTATATATTAAATAATTAAAAGAATTATTCAGAAACTCATTAAATATATTCTTATAAAAAAAAATTGTTTAGACACAAATAACCATTTAAACATAAAACACTTTTGATGCTATCTGATTAGAATTCTATCCACAATAAGTTTTGACGTGCTTCCATACAATAGACAATATGAGAAACCTTTGAAGCAAGTTGTACATGATCTTTAAACACTTTTTGAATATGAAAATTTTTTGATGTATTTTGTTATCTGGCGTTATCAAAAATCTTTGAGCTCATACCATATTCGAGTATCAAAGGTAATTTCTAGAACTTTAATAATTCTGTTTATAGTTTGACCACTTGTATATATATATGTCTATATATATGTCTATATATATATGTATATATATATATATATATATATATATATATATATATATATATATATATATATATATATATATATATATATATATATATATATATATATATATGTATATATATATATATATATATATATATATATATATATATATATATATATATATATATATATATATATATATGTCTATATATATATATATATATGCCTATATGTCTATATATATATATATATATATATGTATATATATATGTATATATATATATGTATATATATGTATATATATATATATATGTATATATATGTATATATATATATGTATATATATATATATATTTATATACGTATATATATATATATATATATATTTATATATGTATATATATATAAATATATATTTATATATATATATATATATATATATATATATATATATATATATATATATATATATATATATATATATATATATATATATATATATATATAGTCATAGCATGCCATATATATATATATATATATATATATATATATATATATATATATATATATATATATATATATATATATATATATATATAGTCATAGCATGCCATATATATATATATATATATATATATATATATATATATATATATATATATATATATATATATATATATATATATATATATATATATATATATATATATATATATATATATATAGTCATAGCATGCCATATATATATATATATATATATATATATATATATATATATATATATATATATATATATATATATATATATATATATATATATATATACAACAAGTGTTTCATTACATCAATACAGTCCATATCCAACCAACGTTGTGTTCCACAGAGCATTATTGAATCATCACAAGGTAAATGTAACACGGTAAGCCTTGAGAAGCGTGATTATTTATTTTTATTATTTTTATGACTTCAAGTGCAAAAATGGCTCCCGACAGTCTTGGATTGGAACTAAGAAAGAAAATTATTGGCGATTACGTATATAATATCGCGTGAAAAATGGACCGTATCAAGACTATGTTCCATATATCGTTCTACGGGGAAGTTGGCAGCAAAAAAAAAAAAAAGGTGGAAGACCGCATTCCACCACTTCTAGATAGGATTCTATGATCGTCAGATCCGTCAAGAAGGATCACTCGATATCATCAGTAGAGATACAAAAAGCAATTAGAGCTGCCTCTATCGAAACGAACAATCAGACGACGTGCTGTTGAAGCCGGATTGTTTTCTCGACGCCTTGCAAAGAAACCGCTGACTTCACTAAAGAACCCCAAGAAAGACTCCTGTTTGCTACATCTCATATTGACTGGAATGTACAGAAATGGCGAACTGTCCTATTAAGTGATGAATCGAAGTTTAACATCATTGGGAGCGATGGCATTTGCCGTTTTCGTCGACCGGCCGGAAAACGGCTCAATTTACGTTACTGACATAAGACCGTGAAGCATGGTGGAGGCAATGTAATGGTTTGGGGGTGTTTTTCTGCTAGCGGTCTAGGTCCAATACATCGAATCGATGGAATAATGGACCGTTTCATGAATAAAAATATCCTGAAAGATGTTATGTTACCTCATGCTGAATGGAATATGCCAATAAAATGGGTTTTTCGAAACGATCCAAAACATACTGCATACTGCATACTAGCAGTGGTTTCAAAACAACCACCTATCGGTGATGGATTGGCCGCCTCAATCTCTGGATCTCAACCCTATCGAGAATCTGTGGAAGATCGTCAACCGCAGAAGTTATCGTGAAGGTATTCATAATAAGGATCAACTGTTTGAATAAATTTAAAAAGCCTGGGCAGCGATTCCACAAAGTTTCATTAATCACCTGATTGAATCTATTCCTCGAAGATGCAAGGCTGTGATCAACAACAAAGGATTCGCCACGAAATATTGATAGCGAAATACAGCTTGATCAACATTTTGTGGAGTTGCACTTGTTTTGTCCAGAAGGAAATCAAATTTTTTTAATAATTTTGATTAATTTATTAATTTTCGTGTACAAATAATGAACTTTGTAATGAATAAAACTTGAAGAATGTTGTCTCTAAACAGTAACATAGTTATTTCTCTAAATTGAAAAAATGCAGCACTTTATTTAAAGAAACTAAATTAGCATTATTTCTGATTTGTTGCTTTTGCCTCATTATTTTTTACTAACTTTCAAAAATTTCAGTGATCAAATTAAATCAAATCAAATATATTTTGAATAAAGTTATTACATCAAGGTTATTTACAAATAGTAATAAGTACTAATATGAAGTAAACACCTGTAAAATTCAATAATTTTAAAGGATGCAAATATTATTTGCATCATTTTAAAATTATTAACAATAATAGTGATGAAAAATTAACAAT